GAACGAAAGGTCGGTGACCTGAATTACGCTTCCTCAAGCGCTAAGCTACGGCAGCCCCACTGCATACATATCTATTGCGTTTGATCCAAGCTCGTCTTAATTTCTTGAACGGCGACCCGATGAGCATGGCTTATCTTCTGTTTCACGGTATCTTGGAGATGCATTGACCACGGAAAAAAAAGAAATTTGATGAAGACTCTTTGTTCTATTTAGTTGCAGATGAAGCACACGAGGCAATATGTACTGAATCTCAGTGAGGCCTTTTCAGCTGCTGCGTTAATCCATTCAACGCTGCGGAATGCATTGTGTTAAACAGTTAGTTCCGTTAGCCCTATACACTTCAGGTCTGCGGGCTACCCCAGGCGTCTGATCATGGCAGTTTTTGATGCAGAAGAATATCAGGGTATGGCATCGGCGATGAATGATGTAATCGGCAATTGTTCATGTACACTTGTATTTGTATTTCTGACAGATTTTCGGGTTTTCTGAGTCTTAGATACAAATAACCCAGAAACCCTCACTAATTCAATAGTGTAGAGGTTATTCACATCTAAGGTACACAGAATGAAACAAAATGATACAAAAAAACAAATATAATATTCATCATTTCTCAAAGGTTGACAATGCACCGTAATAATGCCAATGTGAGTTGCACCTGCGCCACCCTCCTTAACACAATCCTTCACGCGCCATCTCCGACATCCGCTCCGATAATCGCTCTTTGATGATTTTTCGGCGCTTACGGAATGAAGTACGCTACACAGATACACAAAACAGCACTGTCAGTCAGTCTGCCGAGAATCACCAATTTTGAACTTACCAGACGGCCTTCCTTGCTGAAAAGTTCAAGAAAATTGTGCTGCATGTCGTCGGCCTTGCTCATCCATTTATGCACAAAGCCATCGACGTCATTGCGCACTTTATCTACTGCCATATCAAACTTAATCGTTTTTTCTTTGATAAATGGGACGTTCATATCTTTGCCCGTGTATCCGCGCTGCAAATTCCGACGAATGAACGTGTCATACTCGGCAATGATACGGATGATCAATTCTGATGTCGAAATGCCATCTGTTCGTCGAGTTTCAAGAAACTTTCCCATAGCTTTGATCCGAGCGTAGACATCGCCTTCGCTTGCCTCTCCTGATGTGTCCGAGTACGGTAGCGCATCATGGCATACGTAGTCAATTTGATGCTTTTCCAAAAATTCGTCTGAAAGTACCCAGGGAGCGTCTTCCACTACTTCATCCACCCACCTGCAGTGACGCAAAGACTCATATCGCTCCTGATCTGTCATGACAGTTCGACCTTTGAGTTTGTGCGTGATCTCGTCACTACAGCAACCAACCAGAAGGTAAGTATTGGGATAGGCTTCCTTGCACTGTTGCAAAGCTTTAGCATGTCCAAAGTGAAAGAGATCAAAGATGCCATCGGCATAAAGTCGCAATGGACGACCAGTAAGAGTACCAGGCTCGCCCTCCTTTAATTTCTTGCGGTATGGCTCCGGCTGTGGCTCTATCGGTCCGCTCTCCTGGCTGCTGACGCTACTGTCATCGTAATCATCTCTCGAGTCCTCAGCCGCATGCTTCATCTCCTCAGCAGCAGGAACATGGTGATTGTCTTCCGCCTCTCCCGCGTTGTTCATCTCCGTAGCACGTCTCTAAATGGTTGCACAGATAGAACACCAGACTAATCAGCTGTTTCCTCACATCTTCGCAATTTTCACATGACAAATGCAGTAGTTTCGCATGTCGATTTGACGCAAGAACTAGCTTTATAAGCGTAGGAAAACACGCACCTTTCTCGTCATGATGTGTCCGTGTAAAAGTGTAAGTGCCACGAATGCAAAAGTCAAACTTTCGAACTTAGTATTGATCGCAAAATGTGACGCGTGATCAACAACTTGCCGATATTAGTAACATCGGTTACTATGATAGTAAGTAAAGAACTGAACGGATTATTCATGATATTATTGCAGCGTTAAGACGTTTTGCTACTACTTGATAACGATGCCGCGCGAGTGCTACCCGAGTAAAGTTTATGTGAAACGTTGGCGAGCTGATTGCGCTCTGTGACTACTGCTGATCGCACAATAATCGGCACTTGCCATTGAAAACTTTGTCGCTGTTGCGGTGTAGCTGCGGCAGTTTCATCTTGTGGCGGCAACGCGCCTGCTGAGAAATTAAAACGCAAATGCCATTGGAAGCATACCAGGTCCGTTTTAATGGTCGGAAGTGCGTTGTGTGGAATACTGAAGCGCAAATTCGTTTGCAACACTCCTAGTGTGTATTCATGAAAATTGCCAAATACTTTGGACTGTACGACACGATTAGGGTCCAACGCCATTGACGAGAGACTTTCTTCCTGACATAAAGTGGCTGAGACTTCGTAGCACGGGATACTGGCACGTGTAAAGTCGAATACGCCTAGAAGAACGTCACCTGGCTGATAAACTTGTTTTGTCAAAAGGAAACGTACGAGATGGCTGCTATCTTTGCCGATTGTAAAGATGCTTGTTTGCGCACGCTGCATCTGCTCGGTTTCCACACGGCCATGCATAAGTGACGGTCGAAGCTCGAACGGAATCTCGCTGCCTATTCGCACGCCTGCAGGTGCCGACGGTCCCGATTCACTTCGATCCAGACGTCCGACACGAGTCGTTCCGCCCACTTGTTTTGCTTTTTTGGACATAGAAACAGCATTTTTATAGTCAGATGCATCGCAATCATCACTTTCATTCTGACTTGCTGCGAGATGGGTTGCGCTAGCTACAGTGCTAGCTTCGAAAAAATACTCTGAACCATATACCTCGAACGGCAGGTGCACGGATATAGGCTTGCTACCCGCAATTGCTTGTTGCGCTGTGACAGAAACCACGTAGAACACTCGTGCAGATGAGCCGCGAAATGAAGGACAAATGATCTCCGGCAGTGCAATCGCGAATTCTCGAGTGCAGCGCTCAGCCGTTTCGTTCTGCACAGCTTCAAATGAATCAATCAGGACAATTTGTTTATTCATTTTTGAAGTGGCTGCATCCCGCTCTGATTGTGTTGGCGCTATGTTGACATCTGAGAGCAGGACTGTCGGTTGTGAACAAAAGATGCACGTTCCTGTGTCGCCTGAGAAGTTTTGTACATCGGGCAATGTGTCAAGATGAAAATCGCTGTCCAAAGATTTTGCTTTAGATTGTGCCTGATCGTCCTGTGACGCTGGGTGAGGTGAGTCTACATGCACAACGGGCAGTGTGAGCAAGTTGCTGTCCACTGTGACATGGCCATGCACTCGCGCTACTACATATGAAATCTCCGATTGCGCATCAGGCTTTTCCTGTCGGCTTACAAGCCGCACAACGCCTTTCACGACGCTACCAGGACGAAAGTACCGGCTCGCAAGCTGTGCTACTAATACACTTTCAGCCTGCATGACGTGGTCGATCGCCGTTGCTCAGATGAAGTAAGTGTCCGCGATTTGTGAGTGACGGAATATGATGTTTTGCACATCGTACTAAATATTGAAGTTTTTTTAATTTAATGGTTATATCAACGATGACTATTAAGAACTTACCTTTCCGCGTGGGCGTATAGATGGATATGAATTGTCGTCCATTCGTAGTTAAACGTTATGGCGCGCTAGCGAGACCGTTTATTGCTTTTTGAACTTCATGCGCGGATGCTGCAGCGACCAGCAATGCGTGTAAGCCTGAAGAAAAGATGACATGCTTGTCAGTTAACACTAGTCACGCAAGAGGACAACTATGCATTCAAAGAGATAATACCGCTGATAAACTGCTTCTGCGCCTGACGCAGGTCGCTTGGTGGCAACGAGCTAAACCACATCAATGGATCCAAGTGTAATCTCGCTTGAGAGCTCTCTGCATTGGTTACGTTCTTGCTTGCTCTTCGATTGCGTACCGCGTTATCTTTGACTTTCTGTAGACTTCCTTTTGAGGCATCTTGCAGCTGCCAAAAACCATCAGAATCTAGCACTACGACGCGGGATGCCGTAAATTCTTCGTGGTATGAAATTTCGGTTAACGCGTGTTCGGGTAATCGCTGCTTGGCCTTTGTCAATATCATAAATCCCTGCGTAAGTCAGTGTGAGTGACTTCATAGTGAGTACACCTGCAACAACAAAGTGGCACCTTCTTCAACTTATGGCTCGCAGCCTCCTGATCGCTAAGATACTGCTCTAAATTGTCAACACTTTCGATCAAACGCTCGTCGATTGTGTCTGTCATTTTGATTTTGCAAGTGCAGAATTGTCGCTATCAATTCACAATTTTCAAACTGATGTTTGTAAATTTAACAATCACTTTCGATCCACAATGGCGTCTACTGCACGCAGGCAGATTTCGCAAGAGACGTTCGACGAGTGCGTGGCTGAGAATGTTGAGGACTTTGAGATGTCGTTAGAAGAGGCTGTGGCTGATGCTATTCAGCAATTTGAGTCACAGGGCGTGGATTTGTCGAATATTATAAAGGCTGGAAAGAAACAAGTGGTCGATGGACAGGAGCCGCTGCCTTTGCGGCTGAAGAGGCTGATTCGAGAGCTGCAAGAGCTCTGGAACTCTCATAGAGACATGATTAAATTGCTTAGCCTAATTAATGAGCTACAAAATATTTTTGAAGAAGTCCCAGAGGCTCGCGTAGCAGCTGGACGAAACGACGCCATGGATGTGCTGCTGTCGTTGTTAGAGGCCGACACTTCTGTTGTCGTCATATCTAGCAGCAACTTGCTAGTGTTGCTGTGCGCTGATAATGTCGACAATCAGGATTTTATTGGTGCGTTTGGTATGCAGCAAATTGTGAAGGTGTTAGAACGTTGGAGGGAAGATGTAGAGACTTTAGTGCGATTGCTACCGCTCGTTAAAGCAGCTTGTTTTAAGCACGAAAACAACAAAGCAAACTTTTCAAAGAAAAACGGCATCGAAGAGCTTTGTCGGCACTTGGATGGAACAAAGGACAACAAAATGCTGTCAAAACAATTGGCATTATGTTTTCGAGTGTTGACTATAAATGACGATCCGCGCGCGGTATTCTCACAAGCACAAGATACAGTTAAAGCATTGGTTGAACGTGGTGTGATTACGTATATTTTAGATTTTCTACGTCATGCTGGGTGCAGTGGTACAGCGCAGAATTCAAGTGCATCGCCAGATTTGCTGACAAACTGGCTTGCTGTTCTCAAGCAACTTGCCATAACGGAAGAAAATTGTCATCAAATTGCCGATCTGGATGGTGTGATTATTGTGCAGAGCGTCATGAAGGCATTTCATCAAAATGCTGCGATAGCAAAGCGTTGTATTACAGTTTTTAGGAATATGGCGGCTGCAGATTCTTTGAAGCGTACAATTTTGCAATCCGGCACCATTGAACAGACGTTGTTGGCCATGGAATGTCATGATGCCGATGCGTCTATTCAGCAAAACGCATGTGCTACATTAGCAGCTATTGCGCTCCGCTCATCAGAAAATAGCCGTGTACTTGTGGATCTTGGGGTTGCGCGGCAAATCTCGCGAGCCATGCAGACACACCGACGTGATGTGGCTGTCCTTCGCCAAGCAAGCTTGGCGATACGTAACATGGTGGCTCGCAGTGTGGACTTGCGCTCGCGGTTCTTGCATGATGAACCAGAGATTGAAGCATTGCTTCGCGAAGCACAGCAGTATCGCGGCTGCGGTGATGAAGCCTATGCTGCCCTGCGCGATCTGAGCTGTGATATCCAGCTGTCTACTTATGGTTCTGCTGCATCTGGATCATACAATGCGCCAACAAAGATACTCCGCTTCAATCCTGTGCAAGTCCAGTCTAGTAACCTAATTGGGAGAGTACAAGAAACTGCAGAGGCACCATGTAGAAATTATAGATAACTGCAAAATCATTCTTCGACCTAATCTCGATTCTTTTTCAATTTTTTTGATCATTTCTAATCTCATTGCTAACACTGTTTTTCGGGTTGCAAAGGTATGCTACTTCAGTTACGCAAGCTCTACTCTTGATTCCGCTATTGCTGTGGCTCTCTGCAGTCGAGACAATGCTAACCTGACAAGGCCAAACCGAATAGTGCATAACGAACGAGCTTATCATGCAATCGCCTGCCAACTTTGCTCGACGATCTCACGCACGCGACGATTGTATTCCCGTCTGTTCTCCTGAAATAGGCGTGCAGCTTCTGAGTTCGCCGGTGAATTTGGGTTCGGGTCGCACAGCAACGACTGAATAGACGTCAAGATGGCCGAAATGTCGTATATTGGCGACCACTGGTTCTGTAAAATGTCCAGACAGATTTGACCATCGTTATAAACTGTAGCAGCGTTAATTAGTCAAATGCAACAAGAATGATAAGCAACTTCGATTTGATTTACTGTTGGGATGGAACATTTTTGTGATAAACTTGACAGTTGGCGCCTTGTTTGGATAATCCTCACTGAATTCAAGCGTCAGATTAAAGGTACCTCCTTCCCATGGTGTGTCATCTGGTCTACAGGAGTAGAGATACATTTAGTATTGAGAAGACATAACATGGCTGTAGGCTTACCCAAAAATAACAGCTTGCCAAAGCATAATGTTGTTGTCCATGGGGGCACCCGACACACCTGACGGAGGATCATTCTGAAGCTTGCGGAAATCGCGCATTAGTCGTCGGCGAGCGGCGGTGGACATTCTAGCTGCTAAATTATCGCTCGATCGGCGACGACTGGACTATTGCGGACTTTTTGACTTTTGACAGAGTATCGTGGACATTCGAGAATTTGTCTATAATATACAATGTGTCTATAATAGAAATATCTCAAATCATGAACTCAGTAAGAAAAAGGATAAGTGCGTTCTGGAAATGTGGATCTTTAGGGCGAAAAAGATGATACAATGACTATTCGGTATTATATAGTTTGACAAACCTCGTGGGAGTGAACAAACACCAATTTAATGTCCAGAGAGCGACTAGTGCTTGATGATGGCCACAACCTTTTAGTGTTAGCCAGGTTGGAGGCAACCGGCTTAAAGACAGTAAGCGGCTACTCATCTGCATACGACGATAAATTTCCCGCAACGCTGGACGGAACCAGTAAGCTCCTATAAAACAGATTTAAGGATTGCCTTCGTTGGGATGGGATGTAATGAATGCATTTGTATGTTCTTTTTATCTAGTCTCACGACGGGAGTTTAAGTTTTGCATTGATGTACTCAATCAGACAGTTGAAGATTACTTTCCGTGTCTACCGTGTTTTGGATGTGGATACTTATGGTGCATTACAACCTGTGGAATTTCACTCTGCTTGTCAGACCCTTGCACCAAACAGGTAAAGCGGAGATGTTCTTTAAATCTGCTACCACGTTAACGTGTGTTGTGATGCAGCTATCTGACAATATGGAGCTTGTGCTACGTCGGCTTAATAACAGAGAAGAACTGCTTTATCGAGGTATCATCTGGAGTCTTAAGCGATCCAGACGAAAACACACATCTTGGATAGAAATCTCTCAGCTCGTGTACGAGTGACCTAGAATGAGAACTTACCGAATTGAAACTTGATAGCCTGCAACGCAGATGTCTGATGTTCCTTGCGAGGAAATGAGTCGATAGTCAACTACAAACATTATGCATTGTACAGCATGCGCATATTTGTTAATCATTCATCGTTATTCTCTATTGCATTGTCGTTGCCTGGCATGAATGCAAAATATATCAAATCAGTCAGAGACATCACTAGCAAGCAACCAAAACTCAATTTAAAAGAATGTTCAAATATTGGATTCGTCTCACCGTGCAAATAGGTAGGTTTGCGACCCCCTATAAATATACGAAAAATGTGTACCATGTAGAGCTAATTCTGCTTGCTTACAAGGTCTTCTACTAAGCCAATCACGTCTTTCAGGTATTATTTCTTCAGCAATCAAATTCTACGTCATCACAACGCCTTCAAACAGCACAACGCGGCTCTTGTTCAGCTCCTTGCAAACCCTTTTAACACTCTTTTCGCCAATCAACGTAACATCACTAATCTCCTGAATTGAGCGCTTTGAGTTTGTGTACGCTGCCACCAAGTAAATCACCGAAGCTGCCACAGCAACTGGAGTTTGCCCTCTCGACAATTCGAGACTATCTGCCTTTTTTGCTACGGTGTGTGCAATTATTTGGGTCTTGTTCGGAAGCCCCAATTTCGAGCAAAAGCGTTGGACATATTCTTCTGTGGTGGCCTGTTTAACCTCGAGATCTAAACAACGCTGCAAGTTCATAAATGACTTGCCAATACGACGCTTCGGGATTCCTGAAGCGTCTTCAAATTCCTTTAATGACCGAGCGCTGCCAGCCTTCCTACACGCGATAAAAAGAACTGCGACAGCCATACTCTCTCGTTCTCCTCCTCTCATGTTGACTCCTTGTTTCTCTGCCTCGGCGTATATGTCAAGAGCAATCTCCACAATCTTCTTTGGTAATGACAAATAGTCCGCAACTTCTTGAATTCGTATCATATTACGTTGCATCCTCTTGACTTTGGCGCTATCGGACGAGATGTTGGGACGC